ATCCTATCCTATCCCATCCTATCCTATTCTTTTATCCTGTTCTATCTATCTATCTATCTATCTATCTATCTATCTATCTATCTATCTATCTATGTTGGGCATCAAGGATGGAAGCCAAGGACTTGTATATGTTAAGCATGAACTCTACTACTGAGCTAAAAACCCAGTTTAATTTCCTTTTGATGGAAAACGTTTAGAGAAGATAAACACACGTCCTGACATGCCACTCCTTGGTCAACCCCTGTTAACATCCTTCACACAGCCAGTTCTGCCTAGGGGCTGCTATGTTCAATCTCCACTCCACCCCTTCAGTGCTGACATCACAGACATGCACAATCACACCCCATTAGAAGTTGCTTTTTTTAAAAAGTCGGTATTTGTAAGAGAGGTGGAGTTGTCTTAGAATCCTTAGAGTGTTTGTCACGATTCTCCCATGAGAGTTAGCCAAGGGCTCCATACAGCACATCCAAATGTCAAAGGCACATCGAGTACTTTTGAGCATTCTGGGTTGTAAGTCATAGACTTATGTCATAGGTCTGCTGTAACACCTCTTTCATTCTGAACCCTGCTCCAAACTGGCTGTCTATGAGGGGCTCACTTAAATGTATCATGTAGCAACGTGCTGTGGGACCCCTCTAACATGTTCCATATCTATTGTGCTTCTGCAACCTTTACCAAGGTGGTAGCCCCTGAACTTCCACAGTGCACTGGAATGTAAGTGTCTTATGAAGGCAAATGGCTATATTTTTTCCTGCTCATCAATTCATCCAGCATGTCTTTCCAGTGACATCATAGTGTTTCCAGTGTACCAGAATGCCATCATATCTGTGCATTGTTCAGTGATTGAAGTCTACCAACTATACTAGAAAAGAAAGCTGGTGAGCTGGCACTAGTCTTGTACTGTGTCCTTACCAGGCAAAAGGAAATTTGTGGTCCCATTTGATTTATATGGAGAAAATAAGAGCCAGATTAATAGATACACACTAAAATCCAGGGATGAGTAAGTGGTTGTGTATGAGATCTAGAAAAGTAATTAAATAAGCATCACTGTCTAATTAAATTTATGATAATCCACTGTCATTCTCCAAGATGCAGCAATTTTCTGCATAGGGGAGTCCAGTAGTCTTTGGTGATGGCGTCACCTTTGACATTTCTCTGTGGTATGATGATACTGATTTATCTTTTTGAGGATGATTGAGATTTCTAAGTTCCTGGGTCAAGTTAGTCATTTCTTTGGCTTTTCTTTTCTTTTCTTTTCTTTTCTTTTCTTTTCTTTTCTTTTCTTTTCTTTTCTTTTCTTTTCTTTTCTTTTCTTTTCTTTTCTTTTCCTTTCTTTTCTTTTCTTTTCTTTTCTTTTCTTTTCTTTTCTTTCCTTTTCTTTTTTTAATTTGCTTTTGGCATCACTAATGCTGGTTATTAAATAAGAATATATTTTCTTAATTTATAATGTCTTCAGATAGTGTTCATGAAAAGTGAATTTGCAAGTCTGAAAATATCCATACACCATGCTTACCTTTGATATTATGGCTGAAATGAGAGCTTAGGTATCAAAACATATTTCATAAACATGCTTGATCATTTCAGAATCTTCCATCATACTATTTTGCTGCTGAGAAGAACAGTGGCCAAACACCTTCTCATTTTCCTTCTGTAGGCAACATTCCCCCAGTCTCTTGTGGAGCAGCTTAGAATCTTGTCTTTATCCTTGGTGTTTGCAGTTCTCCAGTGTCCGGTCTAGGAGTAGGGTGGTACCCAGTGTATTAGTTACTTCCTCATCACTCTGACCAAATACCCAACTGCTTTGCAGAGGAAACTACAGGACACAGAGAAAAGTGACTGAGAGACTCTAGGCCTGTGGGCTGAAGACAGATGCTCCAACTTTACAGAGAAATTTTGGATGACTGTCCAGGCTGCCACCTGTCTCTGTCTACTCTTGCAAGACTCCCAAAAGTTGCTTGCACCCTTCTTCTGCTTCTCAGGTAATATTATGTCCTTCTGAGGTCTTTGATGTAGTTGAAGACTAGATAGTTATAATTTTCCTTAGTTATGATAAAAGATAAGTTAGATATGAAACCTTAGACTCACAAATATAGGATAGATAGGATATCTTCTTTACTTTTGCCAAATACAAATAGACTAGATATTATAAATAGACTAGATATTGTAACTGTAATTCTTGCTTGATAATTTTGCTTGATAACAATACATATTGTTTTGCTATATGTAATTTTACTATGTAAAAGTTAAAACCTTCCTTTAAAAAAAGGGAAAGTACTGTGCGATAACAAAAAGCCTGCCACAGTCATACAGTTTATAAGCAATGTAAGTCTCTGTATGTTTACTCGGTTGGGTCTGAGTGGCTGCTGGACTGGCGGGTGAGAGAGATTTGTCCTGACTGTGGGCCAGGCAGGACCAGAAAAACTAGCTATACCCAGTTTAAGGAGGGTGGGTCGATTTGGGTTCATGATTTAAGCACAGTCTATCACGGAGGGGAAGCATGGATGTGGGAGGTGCTCTCAACTGTGACAGCTGCTTGTCACATCTCCATGAATTAGGAAGCACACACACACACACACACACACACACACACAGAGAGAGAGAGAGAGAGAGAGAGAGAGAGAGAGAGAGAGAGAGAGAGAGAGAGAGAGAAAGAAAGAAAGGGGAAGAAAGGTTTTAGTTAGGTTTAAACTTGTTTGTTTACTAAATGAACCTGCCTATCTTCTCCCACTCCTTATGACTAAAATAAGCTTAAGGATAACGAGTTATATCCATCTGGAATACGTAACAGAAATGTATTGACTTATAAAACAGCCAGCCACATCAACGAGATCCTATGGAAAAAGCAGTAACCAAGTGCTTATTCTGTGTAACACTATCCAGACGGACAGGATACAGCACACATACACAGTCCACAGGCTACTCATCAAGTACAAGTTTGGCAAACACTGCAAAGCAAGTATTGTCTGTAATCACATCTGTGGCTCTTCCAATGGCGACTCAAGAGCTTCCATCAGCTTCTTGTTTGCCTCTTCATTGTGCCGGCTTTGACAATGAGTTAAATGTTTCTTAAAGCCTCTTGGGAAATTTGATTCAAAATTACAGCGTGGGCACTTAAGTAAACTTTGCCCATGGGCTGCTACATGATTTTTAAGGAGTGACTCCAAAAGAAATGCTTTCCCATAGATTGTGCACTTGTACGGGCTATGGACATTGTGCTTATTAACCAAGTGGTGCAAAACAGCACCCTTCTTCATGGCACGACAGCAGCAGATTTTGCAATAATATTTCCCTTTTCCATGCTTCATGTACTTTGCGATCTCCTCCTCAGAAATGAATGCCTCCTTCTCTTCACTGAACTGAAGCACATTTTTGGACTGCTCTGGACTACTCATCTCCATTTTGTTCTCTTTGCCAAAATCAATAGATTCTACATCCACCTGCTCTTGGTCGCTGCTTGACTCCTGGCCTTGATGTCTATGTTGTCTAAATCTGTTCTGATGTACTCACTGCTACTGAGCTCAGCATCCAAGTTCTCTTGGCTGTCTTTCTTGAGCTTCTTGGAAGCAGGAAATAAAGCATCCTCTAACAGTTTCTTAGGCGTAGCCAAAAGCCCTTCCTGGACCAGACTACCACATTTTGCATCATCTACAGCTTCCAGCTGTAGCTCATCACTAAGCTCAGCAGCCTTCTGAGCATCGGAGAACATAGCAGATTTGGGAAGCTCAGGGAAAAGTACATGCTTCCGGGACTCTGGGAAAAATGCACGTTTCCGTGGCTCAGGAGAAGCAGGAAGGACTGTTTTGGTGGGCTCAGGAAACAGTATGGACTTCCTAGGCTCGGCATCAATAGAGAGGACAGGCTTCCAAATGTCTGAGGCCACCTTTGGGGGCTCCGATGAGCCAGAAGAAGCATGTTTCCGTGTCTCGGGGAAGACGCTAGGCTTCTGAGACTCTGTAATGAAGGAGGACTCATATCTTGGTTTTGTACTCCAAAATTTCAGTTCTCACAGTCAAATGTAGTTTGAAGATATTAAATAGAAACTTCCAGAAATAAAAAAATCAATAAATTTAAAATGAATTTATTAAAATTGCTCTATTTTATTATTAGTTATTATTAATCTCTTAGTATATCTAGTTTCAAAGTGATGTATGTTTTAATATATATGTTTATGTATGTGTGTGTGGGCATGTGGTTTGACAATGTTTCAGGCTTTCACTGAGGATCTTGGGGTGTATCCCCCATGAACAGTGTGGGGAAATACTGTTCTCTGTCCACACACAGATCCATCCTCCATCACAGTTTCCTGCTCTTCTCTATGCCTGAGGAGGGTGGGTAACTCTTGCTGATGGCACTCCAGCTGGATTCAGCTAATGGGAAAGACTTGCAGGATCCTGGAAGTGGAAGCTGGTGGTTTTTTTTTTTTTTTTTTTTTTTTGCGTTGTTTTCAAGCAGAGTCTGGGAGCAGTGACCCAGCAGGTCCTGTGAAACGCGGCTTCACACTCCTTCAGACTCCCTCAGCTCAGCTAGTCTGACTTCCCCCCTCCATTCATAAGCTGTGGAGAGGTAACTGCCCCCTGCTTTTGCTTGTGTCCAAGCGCCTCACCCCCATGCTTTGCTCCCTCACCTCACCCTCATCTCCGTAAATTACCTTCCCAATAGAGTCTCTTCGTTTGACTGTGAAGAGCTGAATTTTGCTTTCTGCCCTGACTGTGACAGTCACATTTACCTTTCACTTTTGGGGCTCCCCTTTCCTAGACATTTTATTGATTACACAATGACCATTTATGTCAATTGTCTATGTTTATGATCATCTATGCTAATCATCTAGGTTTCTTGTTTTTACTTGAGCTTTTCCACATTTCTGTGGTTTTTGCTCCAGATCACAGCACGTTTCCTTAATCCATTTTTCCACTCTTCGCAGCGAAACGTTATTTACTTAAGTAGTAGTCACTTTTACTCATTTAGTTTTGAAATAGGCTCTCACTGTGTCATAAGGGTGGCTCTGAATGTATGGCTGTCCTGCCTCGGCCTTTCGAGGCACACATGACTTGAAATGGCTTATACTTTTCAGCAATTGTGTTTTATCTATTTTCAAGGGTCCTTTCTTGCTTTTTTTTTCTTTTAGCTTCTCTTGCTTCATGCCAGGCTGCTTCTGTTGGATGAATCTAACCATGTCTGCAGTCTAAGGACTAACAGGAAGCGTTTGATCTCTTAAAGCACTTTCCTTTAAGAAGCCAATTATTTTGTTTATTCATTTTGATACATCCTCTCTGCGCTGCTGATTTTCTGACCACACAGGCGACTGTTTACAGGAGTGAGCAAACAAGTGTTCCCCGGGGGGGTTGATGTGGTGTTGCTGCACCTTCCAGGGAAAAGTAGGACAACTGCTTTACCCATGGGGCCTTTGTGCTCTTGGGCCATGCTTGGGTGGCTTGCTTAGGATGAGTAGATGTGTGTGTGTGTGCGCGCGCGCATGCATATACTGATGTGTGTATATGCACAGGAAGGGGAAAGTAAAGGCATATTTTACAGATGGCTGGGTCTCCAAGAATGAGAACAAAATTTTCATGTGGAAAATGGGCTTGGTGAGCATTATCTACAAACTAACTCAATAGTGGTTCCTAAACACAAAGAGTGTGAAATGGAGAAGAAATTTCAGGGAGCCGAGAATAAAGGGCTCAGAGAAAACTGTGGTCAGGGTGGTTTTAGCTGTTCATCAGGCCTGGGCTCTGGGTCCCCCTAGGAATACAATGGGAGAATCCAGAGAGGCATGCGAGACATGACATGGGTCTGGACAGGCTTTAAATGACGGGGGTTGCTTATTAGGAAGGGTGGGCAAGGGTCTGCAGAAACTCAGAGAGAATATGGCTCAGCTCTGTGGATGCTTCTTCACATCTAATGTATTCTCACCACATTCCCTGTAGATTTTAGCTGTAACACTACCACAGTAACGAGATGCCTTCAGTGTCCAGACTGTGACCACCTCCCACACTGGCTGTCAGAGTGGGGACAGCAGCTGTGAGTAGGCCTGACTCCTAGTCTTAGGGAATCTCCCATCAAGGAGAAGTCTGTCTTTCTGACTCTCCGCTTGGCTCACTAGGTAAAAGAACATCCCGACCTTGAGTGGACTCAGAGGTCCAAGAACACTCCTGGACGAGAAAATGCCTTACCAGCAGCCGACTGGAGGGTGGCACACACCTGAGGGATCACTTCTCCCCCTGTATTCCAAAATGATTCGTGTGGAACATCCTGAGGGATAAGAAGGGAGGCCCACTTGCAAGTTACCAAGGAAGAGCAGATGAGCCAGCTGTTGCTATAGCAGAAGGGAAGCCGCACCTGGGACTGGAGAATGCACCCCGTCTGCAGAACTTTGCAGAGAGGTCAGCTGGCCCCGGGTGCCAGAGAGTGGGAGTGTTCCTGGCTTTTCCACACCGGGCTCCTTAGATGATCCACTTGTGCTAGGGCAGTGACTCTCAACCGTTCTAACGCTGAGACCCTTTAAAACAGTTCCTCGTGTTGTGGTGACCCCCAACCATAAAATTATCACATTGCTACTTCATAACTGTAATTTTGCTACTGTTATGAAATCATAAGGTAAATATCCAATATGTGATCCCCCCAAGGGGGCCATGACCCACAGGTTGAGAACCACTGCGTTAGGTCTGGCTCTAGAGGCCACTAGAGGGTGCTGTTCCTTTCCCTAGCAGAGACAAAGTATCCAAGAGCCAGTGTGGAGCATGCTGGTCACACTAGGGATCTAACAGGTGAGAAGCTACCTATCTTCCAAGGGGCCATATGGTCCTAGAAAAGGACCTTTGATCCTGGGCTCAAATCCCAGTCCTCCCGGGTACAAGCTGAATTGGTTGGAGGATACCACACTCTTCAAAGCTCAGTCTTCTCAGGAGTGAAGGGGGATGGCCACACCTTACTAGGCAGTCATGACATTGGAATAAGGGTGAGCGCTCCTGCCCGGCACAGGAATGGGGATGGTTTTGTTGCCTGCTGAACTCCTATGCTATTATTCTCTAGCCCATGGGTGCTCAGGCTTGTGAAACTGGGCAGGGGGGCTCAGATGTGCCCGTGTGGAAGCCTGTCTCCCAAAGCTTTACAGGCAGCCCAGACCCTTTATAACCACTGGGTGAGGCAGGGGTGGGACCATCTGACTTGCTGTCTATGCACAGGGGGCCGGTGTTCATGGATGTCTCCTGGAGTTGAGTGGTTTCCATACAGGCAACAATTTCAGATGTTATACTCCCAGAAGCCACCATTACCATCAGGCCCTGTAAAATTCCTTCCTTCCTCTGTCAGGGCCACCTTCATGTGTGCACCTATGATAGGGAGGCCTGGATGACAGGGACGAGGATTGTGCCTGGAAGATAGACCGAGGAGACAAGTGCATCCCCAGCCATTCTTCTGCTTCAGCGGCAGGGCTGGAGGGTTGGGGGAATGCATTCTGCAGCAGGGATATGGAGGCTGGCCTGAAGGAGAAGCAGCATGTTGCAGCCTGTCCACTGGGAGGAAAGTGGTCCCTAGAGAGCAGACAACAGGCACAAATCCACAGCCTGTGAGCAGAAGCCTGAGCATGTAGCAGGCCAGTGTCCTAAATCCGGCTGCTGCTTAGCACAATGACTTCAGGCAAGTTGCTCAATTGTGGTCCATTGCTTCACAGGGAGGCAGGGATGAAGATGCCCCTCTCTCAGAGCAGCTGTGATGATTAAATAAGGTAATTTCTGTATAGTTTTCAGTGCCATAAGTGACAACTGAATGGCCACTGGCCACAGAGCCGGGAACCATTTCCCATGGGAGCTCCAGAAGAGTTTGCAGGGAGCTGCGGAGACCTGGTATTTAGGAGGCTGCCCTAGAAACAGATGTGTTACCCACAGACAGTCCTCTAAGCTCAAATGTGACTTTACTGTGTGGCCTCTTGCAGGAGGGGCTGCCTTACTATGTTAGAAGCAGTTACCTGGCTCCTCGTCAAATCCTCTGCCACAAACCTGGAGGTCTGTCCAGGACTGTCCTGATTGCTTCTGCAATCTCACCAGTTCTGGAAGCCCACCTCTTCCCTTCTGGCCACACTGTCCTAATGCCCCCAGCTCTGCCCTAGTCCTTGCTGTGGCCCCGGCTTGGACCACTCATCTAAAGAGGATGCAGGTCAACTTGCTCTCTGGAATAACTCATTTCTGTGCTTACTCATGCCCCTGTCTGCTTTCTCCAAGCCTCAGCGCTCTGGAATGATGTCAGCTCTGGAAGACACCTGGACCCGATCGTGTCCCACTCAGCTATGTGTGTCCAGCCGGACAAGGATGCAGCCATATCGGGCTGAATGGGTTGAGTGAGTTCATGAACTTTTTTTTTTTTTTTTTTAATGTACCTGGGAACTGGCTTGGAACTTCAACCTCTGCCTTTTAGGTTTTGGGATTAAAGACACGAGCCACCACGCCCCACCGTAGGTAGGCACATTTTCTTAAGCCCATTCCATGGTTGAGGAAACCGAGGTTGAGAGGAAGCCAGAGGGAGGAAGAGCAGTGTAGTTCGTCCCTCCGCAGGCTGCAGGGTGCTTCCTGGGGCGGACCAGTGTGCAGCTTGAACCTCCTTGGCTGCGGGCTGGCGGTGGGTGCGGCTCCCGAAGCGGGCGGTGCTAGAGTTTTGTGGGCGGGCGGACCCGGGCTAAGGCGAGGACCAGCGGGTGGCCCCAGGCTAAGGAATACAGCTCTGCTTCGGGAGGAGCATGTGAGGCCAGTGCAGAACTACTGTTCGCCCAGCAGGTTCCGGATGCTGCGGGAAAGGGGGCCAAAGAGTTCAAGGCATCCTCCGGGAAGTTGAGCAAGCTGCTTGGCTGGGGCACCTGCAGCAGGGTTCCTGGTGGGCTTCTTAGCCCGGACTTGGCGCCATATCTCCCGGCTGTGGCCCTGGCCTTGGTGCTCGGGTCTCCTCACGTGGGACTCGGTGGCCTGATACTTCCCCAGGTGAGTGCATCTGAGGAAGTAAGCTGCACCTCTGAAGTGTCAAAAGTGTTGCAGGCAGGCATTCCGAGCTGGTGGCTGGTTGTGGAGACTTTAGGAGAAGATCATTGCCAGCAATCTTCCTTCCCGGGGTGATTGACATTGGTGTCCATTGGCTTTCCTTAGATTGGTTAGCAAAGGGAGCAGCAGAACTTTGGGTCAGGGGCGGCAGTGGAGGTGGGGTCGGTGCAGCGCACTTATTTCCACGCTTCAAATTGAAATCCAGGCAGGGTTTGGCTGACCTGGCATAATATGCTCCCCTCCACGCAGGGTTATTCCACCTGCCAGTTCCTAGGGGACTTGACACCAGCACCCCTGGAAAGTGAATGAGGTCACCAGGAGGAGAGTCAAGTCCACACCGGTTTGAAAAAGACCTAGGACTGAAGAGGCAGGCCATTCATTGTTGGTACTGCCGTGGAGTGGGCTTTCTGAGCTATCTTGAGGGATTACAGGCCAGCGAACTATCTGACAGAGGACCAAGGCTTTGGGGACATCCTCTCATGTGTCTGAACCACATCCCAGCATCCCTACGATCAGGCCGGGTTTTGTCAGTGGATCAGGGATATTGTCTTCAGCATCCCCTGGCCACTTGTGCCTCAGCTCTGCCACGAGCTCACTTCTGGTTCCTCTTTTCAAAATCTGTGTTTGGCAAGAGGGGTGTCAGGGAGATTAGAGCCAGGTGGGCCGGGGACCCAGTTCTGCTTCTCACAAACTGCAACCTTGGCCAGGGACCTTCATCTCAGTAGGCTTCCTCTTTAAAATGGAACCATTGGGGCTAGTCAGGTGGCTCAGCAGTTAAGAGCACTGGCTACTCTTCCCAAGGACCTGGGTTTGATTCCCAGCACCCACATGGCACCTCACCGCCATCTGTAAGTCCAGTTCCAGGAGATCTCACTCTCTCTTTCTGGTGTCTATCAGCACCACACATGCATACGGTATGCAGATATACATGCAGACAAAACACTCATACACATAAAATAAAAATAAAAGTTTAAATGGTGCTAGCATTAGATAGGACCACGTGAATTTGTCATCTTTACAGTTTCGATACTGACCATGCCGTATGGTTCAGTCTAGTAATGCCTTTCTGGTGGGACTATGGGAAATTATATATGTCTTATAGTTCAGGAGGGATGGGAAGTGAAAACCAATGTCTCTTCTGCATTTTGTCTCCTAGGAAACACCGACTCTCAGGGTAAGTGTCTTCTTGCCTCTCTTCTCGAAGGAGGACTACCTGTAGCCTGTCTTCCAAAGCCCCTTCCAAACACCCCACTCTCTTCCTCCTACTTCAATTGGCTCAGCTCCTCTCCAAGCCAGGCACCCCTCAGATTGTCCGTGGCTCACAGAAGTGATGTTTGCACGTGTGTCATCTCTGCTGCCTTCTCCATGTCTATCTGGAGCCTCATATTTAGGCAGAATGGTGGAGGAGGAGGCACGCGAGCCTCATTTTGAGTGATCCCGAGCTAATTGCTGGCTGTGGGTGGGGTTGGTCCGCAGCTCTGTGACAGGAAGAACAGGAATGTGACCCCTTCCAGCCCTGGGGTCAGAGGGGTCCTGCCTTAAGGTGAGCTCTGGGCAGGGCAGGGCACCATGGTACCACACACGAGAGCTGTTTGAGGTCAGTGCTGGTAAAGGAGCCGAGTGGGTGATGGGTCCTGGCATATGCCTTCATTGGGATATCCCTTCTGGATTGGCATCAGCTGTAGTCAGGTAGACTCAGAGGCCTGGGTGTGGTCTTTCGTCCAGCTCCTGCTGGGAGATGAAGTCCCTTAGGGTGGAGTTGGTGGAATAAATGGGGAGGGATTTAACATTTGATCGACACCTATGATGAGTCAGGTTGGCATTGAGTACCTTTACCTCCCAGGAGGTGCAAAGAAAGTTCCTGAAAGGGAGCTTGTCCATGCATCAGCTCCATTGTTTGCCTGAAGAAGACAGAGACTGGCTTGAAAGGTGTTCAGGGGCTGGGCGCTCCAAGTCCTCCCTTCCTACTACGCCAGTTCCCTTGTCGTCCTGCCCTGAGGCCGAGCCAGACTGCCCTGTAACACGGGTGCCATCAACTTCCCTCCTTTCTATCACCGAGGAAACTGGGGCTCACAAAACGTCAGTGACTCACAAAGCCACGCTACTGATGGGTGGCAGAGTAGTTATCTAAAGCCAGGACAAGTGTATAGCCTGCTGGCCTGTGTGGGATCCTGGCATGGTGCTTTGCTCACTTTTTTTCTTTTTCCTGAGACAGGGTTTCTCCATGTAGTTTTGGTGCCTGTCTTGTATCTCGCTCTGTAGACGAGGCTGGCCTCAAACTCACAGAGATCCACCTGGCTCTGCCTCACTTGGCTCACTTCTTACACACAAGTGATGGTTCCATTTGTGTGTCAGGGAATCCTGTCACTGACCTCAGAAGATCTCAGATGACCTGGGAACTAGGCATAGGCTCCTGAAGGAAAAGTCCTCGCCACACCCTGTTGCCTGGTGACCTGCGCCATTCAGTCTTCTGGTCTCACTCTGGCCATTCTTAATCTTGGTCTCTTTAGTCCTAATTGGTGACACATGGGGTGAGTCATGATAGCTTTTCCTCAGGCCTCAGTGGCACCTGGTCTTTCTTCCTCTCCAGACTCTACTCAGATGGACCCCTTAGGGACAGTCCATTCTGTGACATGCTCTGTGAAAGGAATTAGCTTTCCTGATGACCTGGGGCTCAGGGTTTGAGGGACTGGTTAGCAGCATTGGATGGTGGTCTCCTGGCCGTAAACAACTATCCATCCTCTGAGTTAGACACCAATGGTTTCTCTGAGGAAAAGGACAGGAGCCGGACAAAACTCTGAATGCTACCTTTAGATGTCTTCTGTCTTGACTTTCTCCGAGCCTCCACCTACCCTCTGCATCTAAGAGGCCTCCCCGGAATGCACATGGCTTGCCGGCAGCCTTTCTATGGCTCACCTGTCATTCCTGGTCTGGCTTATCTCTCCAGCCTCATCATTTTTCCTTCCTTCTTCCTCCTTGGATCCGGCTGTTCTGAGCTACTTGCTTGTCTCAGGAGGCTGCCGTCCTTCCGCCTCTGTGCCTCTGTGGTATGTGCTATTTCCCCTGCCTCGAGTCTCTCTCTCTTCCCCTTTGTCCAGTGGATCCGTTTCAGCCTGTGGGATCTAGGCTCTACACTGTCTCTTCTCTCTCCCTGCCCTTAGCTCCATCTCTGATCTCCCAGGTCCCAGATACACACAGTACTGACTGTGGCCATAGCACTGTGGCCTTGAGGTCCACCTGCAGTCCCAGCGGTCAGTTTCTCTGGTCTGGGGGGGGGGTCCACGGCTGTATAAGCCATTTTGTGACCCTTGTCTTTCTCCCGGGGCTTGGCCCATGTTGGTCGAGCAGATGGTCAAAGCACTGGTCATGGTCTGGAGTCGTCCCCGTCTGCTAACTCCGCTGTGGTGGTGCTGATGCTGCCCTACACTGATGTCCTCACCTGGCTGATGGTCAGACAGCGTCCGGCTTCTGTTCCTTTTGCTGTCTCACAGACGGTGCATGTACCACAGACTCACGCAGCTCTGGCTTCCTTTTCCTCTCAGACCCTAGTGCTTGTGTTTGGCCTGGTCTGTTTCATCTTGCTATATTTGGCCAAACGCTTTTTGTCCAGAAGACTGTGTTACTGGCCAACCCTCGTTTCCCTGGAGAGCTGGCAGCCCAGATAATCAGAGTGTAAACTGTCAGTCAGATTTATTGATTTTATAAATGGCCAGGTGAGACTCACTTCTACAGGTCAGGTCAAGTAAACAGTAATGTTTGTGACAGTCGGAAAACCTGCTTTTTGACAAAACTGCATTTGATCATGAAGGAAGTGTTATCGAGAATGCAATGTATATTTAAAAACAGGCATAGCTAACATATGACACCAAAAAATATATCAAACAGACTATTCTGCTATGAATAGCATTTCTCAAAGGGTCCCCAAACCACATGTAACAAAATCTTATAGGTTACTTGCTAAATACAGATTCCTTGGCTCCATCCCATACTCACTTAACTGGTTCTCCTGGGGAGGGCCTTGGAATCTTCACTTTGAACATATCCCTGCTAAACATGACCCTGATGTTTAGTGAAGGTTGAGAATGGCAAACTTGTAGGATTAATGATTCCTGGAAAACCTAAGTGATGATTTCCAGGGGGATAGTCAACAGTAGGGTGGGTGCCCTCCATATCAGGCTGCCCATCACTGGCATTACTGTTGGAAGGATTTGGAGCCCAGGGTCTGAAGAGTCAGTGTTGTTAGAGGATCCATTTATTCAGGAAGCCCACGTGGAAGGGTAGCTAGTGCCAGCGGGTGGAGGCATGTCAGGTGACTTGAGCAGAGGTATGTTGTAGGGAGGGTGATGAGCATCGTGTGTTGGTGGCCAGGAGTGTGCGTGAGTAGGTGTGGGCAGCACATAGAAGGCAGTGTACGGATGAACCAATCTGTATCCCTGGAAGTCTTCTCCTTCACCGTGTGCAGCCTCGGAATCAGGAATGACAGTGTGTTAGGGTCTGACACCAGGAGGGTGCACTGTGTGCCAAGCCCCTGAGTTCAGGTTCCATGAGTGTCATGAGAGACTGACAGGGTCACTATATGCAGTAGGATCTATCGCTGTCTTTGTTGGGATAATGCTACAAAAGGTTTTCTATGCTTCAAGTTCCTTCTCATCAGAACTGCCTCAAATCCTGAGGTCAGAGGGTGCTTGTTAGGCAAGTTACGGCATTAGATAGTCAGATGCCTTATTAGCTGTGAGAGTATGCGTAAATGGCTTCCTGTGTGGCTTTTAGGTATTTCATCAATGAACTGGGTTGATAACACTTGTCAGAATCAAGTAGCTAATATGCAAAGCACTGAGCACAGTCTCTGGCACACAGCAGCTGCCTACAAGGTAGTGATTCTTGGATACAGTCTATTACTTTAACCCTTACATGCTAGCTCTCAATGCCATGGATAGAAGGAGCCAAGAACCTTCTCCCTCACCCTTGTTCTTACCTGGGTTCCATCCTAGAGACATGATCCTGGAGTCCTATCTGTTTGCTTTGCAGGCTGCACCTCTGCCCTGGGCCCTTCAGTCCTGGAGTTCCTGGATCTTCTCACACCCACCATGAATACCTCCCAATTCCCGGCCTCCCTCTTCCCAGGATTCCTGCAGGGTAAGAATGGGACCCATCCACTGGATTTCCTCTACAACTTCTCTGTTGGCTGCCAGGATTCAGTGGACCTGTTGGCCTTCATCATCACCACCTACAGCATTGAGACCATCTTGGGGGTCCTGGGAAACCTCTGTTTGATATATGTGACCACGAGGCAAAAGGAGAAGTCCAACGTAACCAACCTACTCATTGCCAACCTGGCCTTCTCTGACTTCCTCATGTGCCTCATATGCCAGCCCCTCACAGCCACCTACACCATCATGGACTACTGGATCTTTGGTGAAGTCCTTTGCAAGATGTTAACTTTCATCCAGTGCATGTCAGTGACAGTCTCTATCCTCTCATTGGTCCTCGTGGCCTTGGAAAGGCACCAGCTCATCATCCATCCAACAGGCTGGAAGCCCAGCATTTTCCATGCCTACTTGGGGATTGTGATCATCTGGTTCATTTCTTGCTTCCTCTCCTTGCCCTTTCTGGCTAACAGCATGCTGAGTGACCTCTTCCACCATAACCACTCAAAGGATGTAGCATTTCTGGAGGACAAGGTGGTCTGCATTGTATTCTGGTCCTCAGACCACCACCGTCTCATCTACACCAGCTTCCTGCTGCTCTTCCAGTACTCTGTCCCTCTGATTTTCATCCTGGTCTGCTATGTACGTATCTACCAGCGCCTGCGGAGGCAGAGGCGTGCTTTCCACAAGGACGCTTGCAGTTCACGAATGGGGCAGATGAAGAGGATCAATGGCATGCTCATGGCAATGGTGGCTGCCTTTGCCGTGCTCTGGCTGCCCCTGCATGTGTTCAACACTCTGGAGGACTGGTACCAGGAAGCCATACCTGCTTGCCATGGCAACCTCATCTTCTTGCTATGCCACATGCTTGCCATGGCTTCCACCTGTGTCAACCCCTTCATCTACGGCTTTCTCAACACCAACTTCAAGAAGGATATGAAGGCCCTGGTGCTGACCTGCCATTGCAGGTCACCCCGGAGGGAGTTGGAGCATCTGCCCCTGTCCACTGTGCACACGGACCTCTCCAAAGGATCTCTGAGGCTGGGTAGCAAGTCTAACTTTATGTAGTCCTGTCCAGGCTTTTCCTTACCATTTTCTTTTGACAGACCCTTTCACTTAGCTTAAGTAGACCCATTGCAGACCGGGTTAGCATCCTGTTATTTTTGGCTTTGGGAACTAAGATAGGCTGGCAAGAGACTTGAAGCTTGGCAGTCAGATGGTTTAGACATTTGCTTGTGGGAGAATTTTGAATCCAGATTCTGCAGATTACACAGTGAACTTTGCGTTTGAGCTTCAGGGTGTTACAGCCAGAGACGGTGGACGCTAACAGCCATTCAGCACAGATGCCTGGCCTAAAAACCTTCATCCACGTCCTGGGCATTCAGCTAACTTGCCCTGAGCAATGTGCCATGCTATTTCAAGGGATGCTGGGTGTCCCAGTAGCCTTCGACAGAAGGAGGTTCAGGGAGTTGGAAGTCTGTTTAATAAAGGAACAGGGACAGTAGGAATGGGCAACAATGAATGTGACTGTCTCATCTATGGAGGTCAAAGACCAGTGCCCCTCCTGGCTGCTGAACTGGGTTCAGGCATCCTCAGTGTATGCACTAGACAGCTTGCCTTTAGAAAGAAGGGAATGCCAACACTGCTCTTGGCCCACATACGATGGGATGTTACAGCCCAGTTCTGTCTGTGTGGAGCAACCTTCCAATACAGTGAATACACTCGTCCCACGGAAGGCCTGTCCCCACCCTGAGCAGTGTCTGATGGGCTCTCCGGCCTTGGTCCCTTACCAAGCGTATGTGTAACTGATGTCCAGGACAGGTGCTTCTGGCCACCACTTCCTTCTAGCTCGTCTCAGCGTTTGGTCACATTTCCAGTTTAACTCCTTTGTTCCTGGATTTTGAGATTTCGTTTCTTTTCTTTTTTGAAATGGGGTCTTACTATGTAGCCCAGGCTGGCCTAGAGCTCCTGCCAAGCCTCATTTCTCAGCACTGGTTGAAGCATAAGTCATCACACACATCATGAGAGATGAGTGTTTGAGGCATTCTTGTTCTCTGGTAGAGGCTAGTGCTGACTATTTCAAGTGACCAACTTTGAGCAAAGGCTAGACTTTCAGGACCACCCTGGCAAGATGTCATTGTCCAAAACACACACACACACACACACACACACACACACACACACACACACACACACACACACACACACCCAGGACCTCAGCCTTCTCCAGATATGGTTCTGGTTCCTAGAATTTATGCTTTTCATTAATTAGGCTCAGTGGGGCCAAGATGCCAATGGTTCAGGTTAGATATTTGGTGAAGGTGTTAGGAATTGGGATGTTATGTAGAAGCTGCCCTGAGTGTCTCTTCTGTCCCCATCCCCCGACCCTGGTTAGGATGACATTAGCCTACCCAGACGGCGTTTCCTCATCCTGGTGTCCTGGTGTGTAATGGCCCAGGATTTGTTGGTTACCAGCTTCCTTGATGTTTGCCAACCTGAGCATGTTCTGCAGACCAGTCTTCCTTGCACCTGGAGGCTGTTAGATTCAGTCTTTGCTGCAGATGTACTGAAGATGAACCTGCTTTTGGCCAGAAGATGTAGGTTAATTGTAGGCACACTGAAGACAGGAAGCTCTGCTTAGGAAGTAGGTCACCCTGGGGCTTGGGTGAAAAACCTGTAAATGTACACTCTGGGGGCTGAAGTGGATCCATGTTCTGAACAGCTCTTTAAACGTTGAATTGCTAAAAAAAAGAGATATTCTGTTTTGGCTGTTGTTTCTCTGGCCGCATGTGGACATATTTTTTGTGAAGCATTTCCGTTATTACCATAAATACTTGCCAAATACATAGGGTGCAAAGCTCCATTCACAGGGAGCCTGCCCTTTGTATTCTGCTTTACTTCACATAAAACTACACTGCTAACACTTTCCCCTTGGGGTTGATAGCTGCTCACCAGTGCAGGAACTGCTGGCACCCTGCAGCATTCCTGCCTGACTCCTCGCAGCGGGTGGTTGGGGGGAGGGCTCCTATGGCCACGTTAGTAGCTGCTCCGTGTGGGGGAGCGCTGGGGTTAGCTCTGGAGACTTTCCCACAAAGCAAGCCTGGGAGTTCTGAGACTATGTGAAGCCTTATCAAATCCTGGCAGTAAGAGCTCAACCTTGTTTGAATCTAGCCTTTTCCTCTTCAATAAACAACCTTGACTTGCCTTATAAAACTAATCCCATTCAAAAGTAAACATATTCCAAAATAAAGTTAAAGAAAAAAATTGTCCACAGTTCCACTGTTCAAAGATAATCACTGATTATATTTTTGGGGTTCATTTTTAGTTAGTATATGCATATGTCCATTTAAAAAATATTATTGAGATTAAATTGTGTATGTATTGATATTTACATTATATAGTATTTAAGGATCATGTACATAATATTTAAGGATTATTTCACCTGAGACAGGCTACTGCTATTTGACTTAGGCTACTATGGAACTAACTGTACAGTCCAAATTGGCCTCCAACTTGTGATTCTCCTGCCTCTGTCCCTTGAGTGCCGGCACCACCACACGTGGCTTAGCTTGATTTTCTCCTTTTTTCAAGACAGGGTTTCTCTGTGTAGCCCTTCCTTGCCTGTCCTGGAACTCGCTCTGTAGACCAGGTTGCCTTTGAACTCAGAGATCTGCCTGCTTCTGCCTCCCGAGTGCTGGGATTAAAGGTCTACACTACCACTGACTGGCTCTTCTTTCTCTTTCTTTCTTTTTTTTTTTTTAATTTTGAAAAATTTTTTATTTTTGGTTTTCCGAGACAGGGTTTCTCTGTGTAGTTTTGTGCCTTTCCTGGAACTCGCTTTGTAAACCAGGCTGGCCTGGAACTCACAGAGATTCACCTGCCTCTGCCTCCAGAGTGCTGGGATTAAAGGTGTGCGCCACCACTGCCTGGCTTGCTCTTTCCTTCCTTCCTTCCTTCCTTCCTTCCTTCCTTCCTTCCTTCCTTCCTTCCTTCCTTCCTTCCTTCCTTCCTCTCTCTCTTTCTCTCTCTCTTCCTTCTTTCCTTCCTTCTTTCTTCTTCCTTCCTTCCCCCTTCTCTCTCTTTCCCTTTCTCTCCCTCTTTCTGTCCATATTTCTTTCATTAACTTGTTCACCAAACATGCTAGATGCTGTATTAGCTATGAGGGGTACAATGGTGAGCACAGTAATTATTCCAAAGCTGTTCTCTGCCCTTTCTTCTTTCTGTTAGGGTGCAGCCATAAAACACATAAAATATGGAGGTGGGAAAGAGAGATTTATTTATTAAAAAAGATTTATTTTATCTTGAATTATGCGTAAGCATGTGCATCAATGTGTTGGTTTGTGAACATGAGTGCAGGTGCCCCTGGAGGCCAGAGGTGTTGGGAACTCTGGGGCTGGGATTATAGACAACCAGTTATGCAGCACCTGATGATGCAGGTCCTGGGAACCGAACTTGGGTCCTCTGTAAGAGCAGTACCTGCTCTTAACCCCAGCCATTTCTCCGGCTCTGGGCTGCTGTTGAAAATTTACCATTTACCATTACCAAAGTCTTTGTCCAGAATGACCTGGTCTAGAGTATATCTGCTTTCTTTCTTCTGTGATCCACCCAGCCCTGTGAACACTGACCTTTCTAGGTTCAGCCACTATCTCTCTGTGAGGCTGCAGGGGCTCCACATGGTTGTGCAAGACCGTGGTTGTGGTGTGAATGAGAAACGCCCGATGTAGGCTCACGTATTTGAATACTGAGTCCCCAGTTGGTGGAACTGTTTGGGGAGATGGAACCTCACTGGAGGAAGTGTATCACTGGGGGTGGCCTTGGAGGGTTTATAGCCTTGTCACACTTCCTGTTCTCTCTCTCTCTCTCTATTGACTTCCAGTGTGTGAAGGAAATGGGATCTCTCAGCTTCCTGTTCTTGCTTCTATCTCTCTCCTATATTATGGACTCTGTCCGTCTGGAACCATGAGTCAACATAAACCCCTTTCTTTCCTGTCCCGCTTCTTGCCAGGGTATTCTATCACAGCAACAGAAAAGTAGTAATGCAACTGAGTACTTACTTCACCATCTAAACTGGGGTACTTGAGCCCTGATAATGATCAATCTGGGACATCAGGAGAAAATACCCTGGGACACAGGAATGTGAGGGGGTCCCACTAGAGACAAGCCCAACCCTTGAACACAGCCTGACCCCAGCCATCTCTCTCTCCATCCCACCTTCACTGTCCTTTGCTTTATATTGTATCATATAGTCTCATTGCAAAGGACACACAATTCCCCAGCAGGCCTGGGTTTCCCACTCTGTACATTTACTCCTGATGTTTTCCCTCCTGCCTCCCCAAAACCCTCTGCCCCATCAATGGCCAATGTTTTACCCACCGTTCAAGTAAGTCTAAATCCTACTTTTCCTTCAAAACACAAGTCCACTGTCACTATTCGTTATTACATCCACCCAGCAAATACTGACGGCTCATTACGGGGCAGGAACATGGTAAACAAGACTGAAAAAAAAAAAAAAAAAAACATCTAAACTAAGATTCTTCACACTGTCTGTACTGGCTGGTTTTGTGTGTCAGCTTGACTCAAGCTAGAGTTATCAGAGGAAGGAGCCTCAGCTGAGGAAATGCCTTGATGAGATCCAGCTGTAAGGCATTTTCTCATTTAGTGATCAATGGGGGAGGCCCCAACCCATGGAGGGTGGTGCCATCCCTGGGCTGGTGGTCCTGGGTTCTGTAAGATGGTGGGATGAGCAAATCATGGGAAGCAAACCTGTAATCAACTCCCCTCCATGGCTTCTACAATAGCTGCTGCCTCCAGGATCCTGCCCTGTTTGAGTTCCTGTCCTGACTTTCTTCAGTGATGAACAGCAATGCTGAAGTGTCAGTCAAATAAACCCTTTTCTCCCCAACTTGCTTTTTGATGATGGTGTTTCATCCCAGAAATAGAACTCCTAAGCAGAGATGGCCTTTTAGGGACCTCTTAACTTACCTGTGCAGCTGTAACAGCTGGTCCTAGGGGTGGCCACTGTGATGTGCTGCACAGTCTCCTGTGCTGTGGATGTCGGTTTCAATAGACACACCAGTTATACCACAAGACTGTGAGCTCTTTGAGAGTAAGCCCAAGAAGCCCATTCTACATCCCCGTGACTCTCACATGCCCTTGGGTAGAGTATGGACTCAACAAATGTTGGCTGTTGTGGGATATTTGTACACTAAGTGAAGATGTATTGCTGTGATTGGTGTAGTATGGAGCTGGATGGCCAATAGCTAGGCAGGAAGGATAAGTGGGACTTCCGGAGAGAAAGAGGAAGAGGAGGAGGAATCTAGGCATGTGGGAGATGCCAGCAAGACACCAATGAGACACACAGAGAGACGGACATACAGAGCGAAAGAAAGATAGAAAGCCACATGGTGAAACGTAGATTAATAGAAGCAGGTTGATTTAAGTTAAAAGAGCTAGTGGGACAAGCCTAAGCTAAGGCCGAGCATTCATAATTAATAACAAGTCTCCATAACATTATTTGTGAGCTGGTGACCCAAAGAAAAATCTGACTATAATTGGCCAAGGGCAGAATTAAAGAAGGTTGTTTACTTAGTTTAAAGAGGACTTTTCTTTTTAACAACCAGTTCAAGGTTTCCTTGAATCTGTGCAGGATTAATCAAAGGAGCAGGATTAATCAAAGGAGAACCTGAATCTCCATTGACCTTAAAGGATCCCCTCCCCATTCTTCAAGTTTTGTGACCTCAAGGAGGGTGTATGGCTGGGTAATCATGGCTGCTTTTCTCCTTGTCTAAATATCACCACTTACTTGGAATTTGTTCCCTTTGACTCTGAAAAGAGTTTATCAAAGTAGTCAATTGGAGGCCAGCCCAAAGCTCTCTTAAATGCATGTCCCTTCATTCGTAAATATGTGAATAGGGCCTGACTTACAAAGAAATCAGACTGGAAATAGGCCACACATTCAGAGTAAAGAATACTAGCCTGCTGGTGAAAACCCTGAGATAGCTCTTGTGAGGTAGTGTGCTTTGTGAAGCCGGCAGCCTGTACCACTTTGTAAATGTCATTTGTAGCCCTTTGTGGGTGGTAGATGGATGCCAAGTTTCCCTAGAGGGAGGGCCTCTTTTAAGAATCTTCTTTCTGGGGTTGGGGAAATTCTTCGGTTGGTAAAGGGCTTGTCATGCAGCCCCGAGAACCTGGGTTTGAACCCCAGAACCCATGTACAAAGCCAGGCATGCTTCTGTGTGCTCATAATCCAACCACTGGGCAGGCAGAGACAGGTAGACCCTTGGTGTTGCTGGCCAGAGAGTCTAACCCAATAAACAAGCTCTAGGTCCCAACGAGAGACCTTGACTCAAAAAACTAGGAGAATGACTCTTGAGGAACCATACCCAAGGTTGACATTTGTCCTCCATGTACATTTGAGGACAAGCATGTGCAGCCCCTACCCTTTTGCTTTATGGACGGACACACACACACACACACACACACACACACACACACACACACACACCTCTTTATCCCGAGTGTGTACAGCAGGAGGGAGGCTTGTGTCCTTGGCTGTGAGCTTTGGGCTGGTTCTCAGGTTTCTAGGCTTTGTCAGAGTAGGTTGGCAGCGGAGCTTCATCTCGATGGAGGAAAAACCGAGGTCTCTCATTGCTATCTTTAATTATTCTGAAGCTATGGTCTGTTCTCTCTTACTCTTCAGGGTGTGGCCTTAAAACACACAAAAGATGGAGGTGGGTGTAAATGATTAAACACACAAAAGATGGAGGTGGGTAGAGATGGTGATGCAGCACCTGATGATGTAGGTGCTGGGAACTGAACTCGAGTCCTCTGCAAGAACAGTACCTGTTCTTAACTCCAGCTGTCTCTCCAGCTTTGGAAAGAGAGATGTATAAGTCAGGACGGGAATAAACTGGATGTGGAGGTAGACTCAAATTCTTCTTACTTTGTTTCACACATTCAGCTCCTGAGACAGACTGCTCCCTTCTGTCACCTGATTTTGGACTCTCCAGAAACTGAACCCATGGCCTGTCTCCCAGAGAAGCACACATCAAATCATGTTATCACATAATTAAAACAGATGTCTGAGGCAGCCCTGTGGACCTCCCGCTAAACTCAGGGGTAATGAGCTGAGGGTCCCTCTCTTCTTCCTGTAGGTTTTCTGGGTACGTTTGGGTACGGCCTCCATTCAACTCTTCCAAACTCTGGGAACTAGGGGAA